AAATAATCTATGTGATTATAAAACTGTCGCAGTAGAATGACCTTTGGTATATACTTTAACTGCTCGGCGGTTAAATCGTAAATATCGCTGTTATCCGACACGAGCAGAAACATTTTAAAGACTGAGCATCTCAGTTCTACGCGTCTCTATAAATAGGTCAGCTTTCTCGATACTGCATTTCATTTGTTGTGAAGGGGAGGTAAAATGCGGTTCGTACGACAATCGCGGACGATCAAAGTGACAAACTTTGACGATAGGATGCCGTTAACGAAAGAGGTACGCAAACATGGAGGCATGCTACCGATTTCTATACGCGGTATCATCTGCGGTCCGTCGAATTGCGGCAAGACAAACGTCTTGATAAGCTTGCTGGAAAGTCCGCACGGTGTACGCTTCGAGAACGTGTATGTGTACTCGAAATCGTTGCAACAATCGAAATATCGATATTTGGAGAATATACTAACACCGATAGAAGAGATTGGCTACTTTACGTTCTCGAATAACAGTGACGTCATTCCGCCGAGCGAGGCGCTCCCGAATTCTATTTTTATCTTTGATGACGTGGCGTGCGACAAGCAGGATACGATAAGAGAATACTTTGCAATGGGCCGGCACGCGGACGTTGACTCTTTCTATCTTTGTCAGACGTATGCGAAGATACCGAAGCATCTTATACGCGACAACGCGAATTTATTGATTCTGTTTAAACAGGATGGTACCAATCTGAAACACATATACAACGATCACGTAAACACAGATATGTCTTACGATGATTTCAGTAAATTCTGTCATACGTGTTGGCAACAAAAGTACGGATTCGTGGTGATTGACAAGGATAGCGCGATTTCGAATGGTCGATACAGAAAAGGATTTAACGACTTTGCGATACCGAAACGTGGTTAGTTGTTGTCGACGCGTCGATTGAACAACGTTAGCGCAACATGGACAGCAGCGAGGAGATTAGAGAGCGCGAGAGGATAGCAAATCAAATTGCGAAAACGAGCAATTCGATTCGCAAAAAATATCACGCCTTGAAAACTGGTAAAGTGGAGGAAGATATCGCGTTGGAGAGACACTTTAAGCCCATCATCGAGCTTCTAAGACAGATTGCCGAAAACACCGTTGCTGGCAAAGAATCTGACGTGTCAAAGATTGAGAATGAAACGGCGTGGGAAGACGAAGAGCCGAAGCTCAAACGACAACGACCAAACGCCTCGTTTAACGACTCTGTAATGGCTTCAACTCCGGTTACGTTGAAACGATCGATAAATGTGCCATCTAATTTGAGCGAAATAACCAAAATTTTTAAACCGCGTAAACCGAAACGATCGAAAGGTCCATTGAATGAACCACCGATAACCTCTGCACCTTCCGTACAACCCACAATGCTCGCAAACGAAGATGTTTTTGAAACCCCGAATGACCCACTCGTGACGTCCGTTCGAAAGCAGATGCAAACACCTGAGGGTCAAGAAACGTTGCGTGATCAATTGGGTCCATTGAGCCAAAAGTATGTCGGGGCAGTTCTGAGCGGCGATCATGAAAGCGGTATGGACATCGCGTACGGTGTTAAATTCACCAACGATGGAATGATGCTCGGTAATAAACGTTTTGACGTGAACTACGCGGACAAGATAATTATCGATGGCATACGATACAATGGCACACGCGGTCTTTTCGAATTAATTTTTAAAAAATATCCCGATCATGATATCTACACAGAGGACGATATGCAAACATACAAGAGCATTCTGTTGATGACGAGTGCTCATAAACGCAATTATGATGCTGACGCTCAAATAAAGGGCAATGGGGGATACAAGTACACACATATAATCGGGCCGTTGATTTCGGGTAAAAAAGCTGGAAAAGGTATACCGCGTGCCATGACAGACAACAAGATCGACCATATAATTGCATCGTCGATTTCGGGTAAAAAAGCTGGAAAAAGTATACCGCGTGCCATGACATTAAACGACAACAAGATCGATTATGTTCATTGGGACGATCCCAACGAGCTTGTAGATCGTCTCAGATTGCTCGAAGCTTCGCGCCTAGCGGGTCACACCGGTCACGATAACGAAATCCTGTCGATTATCGAGGAACTTCGCGAGGCTGGACTTATTATAAATTAAGTGGCGCGACAGCGAGTCATTCAATCAACATCGAAATGCCGATCAACAAGTTTGGTATATCGCTCGGAAGAGGCGGTGCGGAACCGTACTATCAATGGAGAGGATTAATCAGAAATTACGTGCGCGATAACGCTCTTTGCATGGTCGCCACCGACTTTGACGCAAAATCGCGCAAGATTCGACGGATAGCGCCGCCTGTAGATGATGGCGATGCCGCTAATAAACGCTACGTGCAGCAGAGCGTGCAAATTTTGAAAGATCGACAGGATGAAATCGAGAGAAAGATGGTCGCATTCCAGAATAACATGCAAATTACCCTAAACGAACTTCAAAAGATGATTCAAAATGTAATTGTGAATCATCGCAAATAGATAAGAACGTACATCTGATCTCTGCGTCAGTTGCATGTCATCGTCATGGCTGGTAAGAAGCAATCAGCTGAAAAACGGCTGCTGGTGGAAGAATTACACGCTCCTGCAAGAAGAAATTTTTCGCGAAGACGCGTCATAGTGCGCGGATACAATGACCTGTGGCAGGCGGATATGGTCGAGATGCGTCCATATACGGGATTCAACAGAGGCCACCACTACATACTCACCGTTATCGACGTGCTGAGCAAGCACGCATGGGCCGTGCCGCTTAAGGCCAAGAGCGGACCCGAGGTTACTGCGGCGATCGCGAAAATAATTCGAGACGGCGGAAGATGCCCGAAAAATCTGCAGACTGACAAGGGGAAAGAATTTTACAACGCAAACGTGCAGAAACTCTTGAAGAAACATAATATCAATCACTATTCGACCTATTCCGTAATGAAGGCATCGGTCGTCGAACGATTTAATCGCACGCTCAAGAATGATATGCGGAAAATGTTTACGCGCAATGGAAATTACAAATGGATCGACTCGTTGTCGGGTCTCGTATCGGATTACAACGCGCGAAAGCATCGAACTATCGGCATGCGGCCCATCGATGTTACCCCCGCGATCGCCGACAAGCTCCTAACAACGGTGTACAGTCACGTAAAAATCGCTGCTCCCGCGCGATTCAAAGTGGGCGACTCGGTACGTGTGAGTAAATTCAAGACAATCTTCGAGAAAGGATACACGCCAAATTGGACCACGGAAGTATTTAGAATCGTCAAAGTGCAGAAAACTAATCCCGTGACGTATCTGTTGGAAGATTCCTGCGGAAAACCCGTCGCCGGCGGCTTCTACGAATACGAGTTACATCGCGTTGCTAATCCCGACGTGTATCTCGTTGAAAAAGTTTTGCGCAAAAGAGGGGATGAGGTTTATGTAAAGTGGTTAGGATTTGATAATTCACACAATTCATGGATACACAAGAATAATGTATTGTAAAAATTTATTACAGTATAAAAATATACATATATACATATGAGTCATTTATTTTCCTAAATATCTAAATGTAATTACAATATATTTACAGCGGTATTGACAATATATTTACAATGGTATTTACAATATATTTACAATGGTATCTTATAATGTCCCCATGGCAGCGTTTCGGTAGAACCGGGTATAATGTATCGCTTATCATCGTACGGACTTAGAGCTATTTTTGTTTCGGACACGGTGTATACCTCGTGTTTTTTGGATCTTATGCAGGTTTGCTGTCGCGTCATTTCAATTTCGTCGCGCAGACACCGCGTGTAATCGTTGAACGTTATCGACCTGGCTACGACGTTACTCTTAACACCTTTAGCTTTTTTCGTATCTTTCTTACCGTACACTCGCAAGGCGTACATCTTTGCTCTAAGCCCGACGAATTCGGTCATTATCGCACCGTTATTTTCGTCTTTCATTAAGCCCGGAACTTTTTTATTGACGAGTGGGATACCATACGTATTATCAATCGCGTAATCGCTAGTGTCAAATCTATGAATGTGGCGCTTCATGATATCGTACACATCGTCGCACTCGATGTGATAAATGAGACTGTCAGTATCGGTGTACGTGACTTTACACTTGTCGCGATACAACGGTAACATGTACTCGTGATGAAATTCGTACAAACATGTCTTGGATATATCGAGGATGCACATACCCACATAGATTGGTTTGTCGAACTTCACCTCGAGTTTTCGCATTTCTATTGCTACTAAATTCTCCGAAAAGACGCTTCGGCTATGAAAATTTGGTTTTGCAATCATAGCCTCCGCGCCGTATGTACCTTCCCAATGAGTCACGAGTCGCACGTCAACGTGATTGCGCACATTTTCCATGGTTTTGCCAAACACGGCATTGTTCATCAATTTGTATAAATTTTTCTCGAAATCATTGTTGGCCAATGTTCTAAATTTCGTATTGAGGTCTATATAATCGCGAAGCCATGGAGATTGCGCGAATTTCAGTATACGGTGAATTTTTGATATACGGAGACCGTGACGAGTACACTGCTGCAGGTTGCGATAATGTATTACATAACGTTTCTTATCGTATAATGTTGCGAGGAGTTTGTCCTGCCGCTTGCCGGGTGGTTTATCGCGCGTCGGACAGAACGGTAGGTCAGTGTGCGCGTCGTGAAGATGTTGCGGATACTCCAAGTCGACTTCGAGAATGTAGCCTATCGAGGAATCCAACGCGACATCCATAACATTAAAATCGGTTACGTCGTCGACCCATTTGAAATCTGCGTATGGCAATGGTTGACTCATTGCCCAGCCGTATAAGTTATTTACATCAAAATACATGAGGTACGACGACGGTTTTGATGGATCGTACGACTGCATGTACTTGTTGTTGGCCAGCGCGTATCTGTTTGAACATTGACTCAAACCGCCGCGTATACCGCGTTCGATAAACATGACCATGTCAATGTCGGTGAGCAATTCGAAATTGATGTGTGTATGCTTCAACATAGCATCCCACGTAAAACCCGGTAGAGTATAATAATACGCCGGATCGAGTCCATAACTCGCGACGCAACTATCGCGAAAATTTTCAAAGATATCGGCCAACAGCAAG